TTATACCAGGAGAGTGACATAGATTTATGCTTCAGGGACCAGGGCTGCTGCATTAGTTCTGCCCCTTCTCTGGACCTCATGCCCCAGTTGATGAAACTAAGAGGTTGTAATAAGTGATCATTGAGGTCATCCTCAGCTCAATGGTTCTGAGATCAAAGCCCATCCCAACTCTCCTTCCTCTTCCTGCCCCACCCCTTTTTATTTTTCTGCCACTCAGCGCTGTGCTGAGGCTGGATCTGTCTCCTCAGGGGAACATTGGCTGAACGAAGGCCATGGGAACAATCTGTTGTATTTTATTTTATTTTTTTGTTTTCCTCTCTCTTTGAAATCTTCAAGGAGAAATGTCAAGTCCATGCCGGCTCCTAGCAGCAACTGGGAAGGGAGTTAGAGGTGCCGAGATGGGCAGTCAGATCCCCTGAGAGTTGCAGAACCAGAGCAGGCTACAGAGGATGCTCCTGCTGGGGCCTTTTCTTGCTGGAAAACCTTGGCTCTGACCTGACCAAAATGCTGGCAGGCCATTCAGGGCCCTGCCTGGAAGGCCCCAGCTGGTTGTGCGAACTGGGGAAGTTCTCTGCTCCTTCCAAATTGTCTCCTATCATCACAACGTGATTTATGAGCATTTCCTCTAAAATATGAGAACACTGGCTCCTGATGATACCCTGGAAGGGAGAAGGCAGCGGCTGTAGCATTTCTAGTAAGGAAGATCCCTCTGGCTCTCATCTTGTCAGGAAGAGGATGCAAGAGGTAGAATACAGATGGGCAGAAGGTGCTTTCTGTTTTGTTTTAATCTGGAAAACAAGGCTAATCCACGAAACACAGGCCACGGAGCTCTGTAGGGACGCCAATCTTTCATACAGTGGAGAACATTATTGTCACTTTCTGAGGGATCTGCGGTTGATCCCTAGCTCTGCAATGTAGATGTCACAGGCCGGTGACATCTCATGAGCCTCTATTCCCTTTCCTATGGGGGAAAAATGGGAACACTAGAAGCACCTGTGCAGCCCACGTTGGGGAAGCACCTAAAGTGCTCGGGCTGGGCCTGCCACTTTCCCTGCGCTGGCACTTATTGTTGGATTATGATAATAGCCGATGGTCTAAAAATCTTTGGAACAAAACATGGAAAGCATTTTCAGAGTAGTGTATAGTGTACATGATGTGTGTGGTATGTGTTGTGTGTTTTGTGCGTATGTGGTGTATGTGTGTAGGTATGCATTTGTGTCAGCTGAGGCTCTCATAATCAGTGCACTTGGGCAAAGGCACTTGATGAAGGTGAATGGCAGTTTGCTGTATAGATACCGATACCCTGTTGACCTACTGTGTATGCTGGGAGAATCTGCCTTCAGAGCTTAAGTTTCTTTTGAGGACATGGCAGATATGTCATGCATACACGAAGGAACAAGCACACCATAACCAAGCACTGCCAGGCAGTCTGAGAGCAAGTGGGAGTCTGTGGGGAGTTGAGAGGAAGCCCCAGGGCAGCAGCGAGGACCTTGTAGGAAGAGCTGTGCTTGACGTGGGTTCCAAAGCTGTGGTTTTCTGCCTTTTTTTTTTTTTTTTTTTTTGCTGTCTACCCTCTAAATGAACTTTTTGAGGAAAAACAATCTCTTCCCCTTCACACATTTTAACTTGACACCTAAAATGTTTCATTCTAAGTAGCTACAAAGGATGTATTTCTGCTGTGTTTTAAATATTGACATCTTAGATTAACATTACACCACTTTTCCATCAAATGGAACTGGGTGCAGTGGTGCATGCCTGTAATCCCAGCCTCCAGCTGAGGCTGGAGGATCACAAGTTTGAGAGGCAAGCCTCTGCAACTTAGCAAGACCCTGTCTCAAAAAAAAAAAAAAAAAAAAAAAGCAGGGGGATGGCTAGAGATGTAGCTCAATGGTAAAGTGCCCTAGGCTCAGTCCCCAGTACCACAAACAAGCACCATCAATGGAAACTAAGTAACAGCAATTTTTTATTTTGTCTTTTTATTGAAGTATCATATGTAAATAGTAAAATGCACAGATCCTAATTGTGAAACTCAATAATTTTTACCATTGTCCCTGTCCGCTAAATCAAGTTGAGGGACATCTCCAGGACTCTGGAAAGCATCTTTGCCCCCTCTCAGTGAATAACCCCTCAAAGGTGACCACTTCTCTCATCTCTATCATGATAAACTAGCTTTTCATGGTTTCATTTGTTTTGGCTGCTTTCAGTAAACACAAGGTCTGTGGGTTTCAAGATTGCTCTGCAAATTAGTAGTAGTACATTCTCATTGTTGAATAGTATTCCACTCAATCATTATTTCACATTTAAAAAATCCCTTCTACTCTTACTGGATATCTAGGGGCATTTCTAATATTTGCCTATTAAGTTACTATACTTGTATATATTTTTGGGTGGAAATAAGCACTGATTTCTTTTGGAAAGAGTGGAATTGCCAGGTCATATGATAAATACCATAATACATTGGAATCCTTTGTTGTTCAGCAAAAATACCAATAAGCCAGCTGTGGTGGTGCACATCCATAATCCCAGCTACTCAGGAGGAGGTTGAGGCAGGAGGATTGTAAATTTGAGGCCAACCTGGGCAACTTAGTGGAGACACTGACTCAAAATAAAAACAAACTTAAAAAGGTGGAATGTAGTTCAATGTTTGAGGCCCTGGGACCCTGTGTTCAATCCCCAGAACTGTACATATACACACATACACAGAGGAAGGAAAAAAATAACCAAACAAGTAAGAAATATTTACATTGGTCCTTTGTCTTCTGAAGTTCATAATTCCCTCCTACTTCCTTCACAGACTTTTACCTTAATGTATTATGGTTTAATTTTTGATTGATTATCATACTTCTTTTTATCCCAAACGTGTATGTAAATTGAAATGAACATTTTACATTTGTCCTTTGACCATACAATTCTAAGGATCTTTCCTTTGGATTATTTTATCATTTTAGTGATTGCTAATAAACAGTTCATTAAAATAATATTAATACTTTGCAAATTTGATAGACTATTAGACATACAAAGTAATATTTTGTAGGAAATGTTTCTCATAATAAAATGGATGGGGTGGGAGATGACAGTGTTGCTCAAACTTCAAGGTACATAAGGATGACCCAGGGAACTTATTAAAATGCAGATTCTGATCCAGCAGGTCAGGGCTGGGGCTTGAGATTCTGTTTTTTTCTTCTCTTCTAGCTTTACTAAAGTATAATTGATATACAGAAAGTAGCATACATTTAATGTATGATGGTGATACATACATAATAATGGTGAGTTTGGGCAGTTCAATGTTTTTAAGTAATGGTGATGCCTCTGGTCCATGAACCATACTTTGAGAGCAAGAATTTATAGTCCTTGATTAAAAAAATATTTGCTAGCACCAACATTTTGATTTGTCCCTCCCTGTTTTGACACCCAGATTTTTTGACACTTTGGGATGCTGTGCCACATTCAGATTCTGGATGCATGAAACGTTGCTCTTCCTCCTGTAAAATAGGAAACAGGACCATTGTGAAGAGGGAGAGTTTCACACCATCCAGATAGCGGCACTTTCTCAGGCAGAGCGGTTTTAAGAAAGAGTGGGAATGGACACTTCTTGCTGAGGATCTGAGGTGGATTTGTAACTCTGCCTGCACATCCCCTGGGGTATCTTTGTATGCTACAGAGAGGGTCTGCCCCATTTTGCAGATCGACTTTCCGAAGGATGCTAAAATGTTGCGGGTCACTATGTCAGATAGGGTGCATATTTGAGCAAGTAAGATTGGACATTGCAAGGACTGGATTGACAGATTTGGAGGCTCCACTGGAAGAGAAGTCCTGAGCAGTAACATTTGGGAGAGGGTGCTGAATGGCTTTGAATTCTGGGCTAAGGAGTTGGACTTAATCTTGAGGCAGAGGTATTTCTGAGTGGATTGCTGGTATGAGAAGAGTGTTTTGGAGAGACGATCTATTGAGAACTTCAGGAATGTCAGAGAAGGAGTTCGCTACATGGGGATGGTGGCAGTGACAACATTAGGGCTTGAAGATGAGATTGGCTGTAGTCATGAGCATTTGGCTTCAATTTTTTAAAAAAATATATTTTTTTAGTTGTAGATAAACACAATATCTTTATTTATTTATTTTTATGTGGTGTTGAGGATCAAACCCAGGGCCTCGCACATGCAAGGCAAGCGCTCTACCACTGAGTCACAACCCCAGCCCTTGGCTGTGATTTTGAAGTCTGACTCCCAGCTCTTGAACTTTTGTCCTGGTAATACAGACCTGGTTTGCCCCATCAATATTTCCTGAAGTGGGCTACATTCTTCTAGTAGCACTTGAGATGTTTATACATGGAATTCAAGGTAATTTAAAGCAAAACACAGCCGTGGCCTTGAATAACACTGAAACCCAAGAGCAAGCAGCATCCCCTTCACAGCCCTTTCTCTGTCTTTACTGTACCTGGAGAAGATCTTTCTTTAGCCCTCTCGGGCTGCCGTTTCCCTTTCTTGCTAAAGAGTAAGCAGCTGAGGCAGAGGGGCCTTTGAGGAACTGACTAGACAGAATTGTACAGAATTCTTGTTTTTGTTGAACTCATTTCCTATGTCCTAGGCTGCTCCTGGTTCTCCACTTTACTATAATGATATGCAGCTTTTCATTTTAAGCAAGTTCACATCAGTAAGAAAAGTGAGTCCATATACTTGATTATATGGAAGAAATAATAATTTAGCTGGTGGCATTATGGGTATGGTAAAAATTGTGGTGGCAACATGCAGTGATTCAAGTTTGGGAAACATGGGGTTAGATCGAGTGGCCAAAATGGCATGTGTCAACTCTTTGCACTAATGCTCTGCCGAGCAGGGTCTGGGGTCTAACCAAGGTCCAAGAGGCTCTAGGGATCATGCGGGGCTGCAAGGCAGGGGCTGTTTAGATTGCAGTGCCTGAGCTGGCATTGCTGGATCAGCAGGGTGGGTCCAGTACTGTCCCCACCAGCAGCCTAACTAATGTTTGGCTTCTTGCTTCTGCAGAGATCCGCACGCAGCTGGTCGAGCAGTTCAAATGCCTGGAGCAGCAGTCAGAGTCGCGGCTGCAGCTGCTTCAAGATCTCCAGGAGTTCTTCCGCAGGAAGGCTGAGATTGAGCTTGAGTACTCCCGCAGCCTGGAGAAGCTGGCCGAGCGGTTCTCTTCCAAAATCCGCAGCTCCCGGGAGCACCAGTTCAAGTGAGAAGTTGGCTGTGGGGTCCCAAGAGATGCGAGGGGCCACGCTGGACTGGGCGGGCAGTTGGTGGCAAAGCATACTGGGACTTGTTAGAGGCAAAGGGCGTCCTGTAAGATGCTGGTTCTGCAGGTTACTTATACCTCCAAGCCTCAGTTTTCCCAGTGCATAAAGTGAAAGACCAAAATAGTTCTTACATAGGTTGCTGTAGAGAATGAGTAGCCCAAGGAAAGTGTTTGTCATAAACAGTAAGCACTAATATTGCTTTTATTATTACTATCCTATCAAGTCCAGGCATGGATTAACCTTCATTTCTACCCACATGAGACCTCTGCCTCATTTCAGGACATTCTGACCCTGTCTAGTTGTGTTTTAACTGGGTAACAGCCAGCCCTCTTCTAAATTCCTCCAGCACAATGACCTTAAAATCTCTTCTCCATGGAATGGGTTCTCAAAGCATTCCTCTTCCTTGCACCCCTGGAGGACCAGAACCCTTTCCCTGCCTTATTTACTAATTTATGACACACAAACCTTCCCCAGTTGTGATTTCTCACACACCAACCTCTGAGTGTATAGAAGCCCCATCTGATTTGGCAGGCTGTGAACCCTGCAGCTGCAAATCATAGCCCTGGCTGAGCTGACTCTGGAGCCATTCTCTCCTTGGCTCCCTGGGCTGCAGAGACAGGGCAGTGTGGAGAGCTTGGGTCCCATCTCCATGTGCTCCTTCCTCTTGATTGGGAGTCAGTTCTCTCCCCATTCTAAGTGTGCACATGGGAGAGAGGGGGAGAGGTGGGACTGGAGACATGGGGTGGGGGGGAAGGTCCCCTGCTCTCTTGCATAGACTGTAATGAGCTTGACCAGCCCCCCATGGATTCATTAAGGGAGCCACCAGACGGAACAGGAGCCCCAGCTGGCAGTCGGGCCAGGAAGGCTGCTTGTCACAGTTTGAAAGTCTAATTAAGGTGTCGCCTAGGCCTGTGCAGCTGGGGCAGGCCCTCTGCACGATGCTAATGTGCTCATGCAGCCCCTGATGGCTTTTGGAGAGTCTCTAGATCATGTCGGACTCACCTTTGACTCCAGGGCACTGATTGACCCCTGACCGCTTCTTGTTTGGAGATCAGGGCACAGGAGCTGTGCTGTGCCCTGGGTCTTTCATCCTGACCATCCTGAAAAGCCTTGTCCTGCTGTCTACAGAATCTCCATTTAAGAGTTTTCAGGCCAAATAGCTTCTCAGTCTTGGGTGCAGGGCTTAGGACTTGTTTTATCCTCACTGCAATGGGTCCAGTTCTGGGCAGAGATGGGATATTTGTGAATGACAGGAAGAGAGGGAGGAAGAAAGGAAGGAAGAAGAAATGGAGAAGGGCAGGCAGGAAGGAAAGAGAAGCAGTGGAGAGAGGGAGTAAGGAAGGAAGGAGGAGAGAAGAAATAGAGGAAGGCAGACAGGAAGGAAGAAGAAATAGAGGAAGAAAGGAGGGAGGGAGGGGAAAGGAAGGAAGGAGAACAAAGGAAGGAAAGGAGGGCTGGAGGAAGAGAAGGAGGAAGGGAAGGAAGGAATTTACTTACTTGGTCTGTACAGTCCCTTCTGACTGAGAGATCTGGTTCAGAGAGGGAATCCAGTTATCCAGATCTCACAACAAATTAGAGGCAGAACTGGGACAGAGACCTGGGTCCCTTTCCTCTAAGTGCAGTGTGCTTCTCTCTGCTCTGCAGGCCACGTCTCTTAGCTGATCTCTATCCACCTGCACAATGGGAATATTTACAGCTGCCAGGAGGTTCTGTGTTCTGGGTTAGACTCACCTGGGATGAGTTTTGTACAGGAGTCAAAGAAAGGCTCTGGCGATGACTCTGGGTCTCCCTGGGGCAGGCTGAGCATTTGGAGAGCAATATCGTCATGTTTCTTTTCTATCAGCTCGTGCTTCTACTCTAACAACCCTGACATCTTTGCTGTTTCATAATCCTGATGATAACCCAGGGGAGTGAGTTTTATCCCAAGCAAACTGCAAGCCAGAAAAGCCAAGTAGCTTCTTTGACCAAGGACACAGAGTGAGCTGTTGGGCTTGAGAATCCAGGGTTCCTGTCTTCCAGGTTGGCTTCTCTCTCCAAGAAGCCATGGGATCCTTTTTTTTTTTTTACTTAAAATGCATGTATTGAGGGCCTCTTTCTTCCTGGGACTGGGCCCAGTGCTGACAACACTAAGGTAAATAAAGCAGTTTCTGCTCTTGAGTACTGAGTCAAGGGCATAGCTCAGGGATGCTGTAATTTGGCATGGTTGGTTCAGGCACCCAAGTGGCTGTGCCTTTGAACCATCAGCCCTCAGCATTTAAATGTCTCTTGCTCTGGAAACTTCCCTTGATTCTGACCTGGTGCCTTTCCCTGTCTGCCCACAATATTCATATGTTCCTCTTTACTTATTCACTTTTTATTTACTGAGCATCTACTGCATTCCAGTCTTCAGGTCTATGGTGGTGAGCAAAATAATCTTGATTCCTGCCATGGTGAAATTTATATTTGTGGAGGAGATAATTGAACAATAAAGCTTAAAAAGCTAAATAAAAGAAAAGACAAACTTTAATCAAATGATTTTCAAGATGAGCATTCTGGTTGTCTATTCTGTGTAATAGCAACATGCCCACTTTTGATGTCTCTCCTGATTTAATGGGTCAGGGATGTGGACAGGACTTAGTGGGGTTGATTCTTCTGCTTTATGTGGCATTGACTGGAATTGCTCAGTGATACTAACCTGGTGGCTTGTCTGCTCTGGAGGGTCCAAAATGGCTTTACTCACATGCCTAGTGCTTTGATGGGAATGGCTACAAGCCTGGGCCACTTTCTCCATGTAGTGTCAGACTGTAAACCCAGTAGCTCAGGACTGGGAGAGAGCAAGATGGCTTCCATGGAGCTCATAAAGGCTAATCCCGGACCTGATCCCCTGGATCCTATTGGTCAGAGCAATTTCAGCTCTAGCTCAGCTTCATGGGAGGGGAGATGAAGCCCTCCTCTCATTGGAGGAGTGTTAAGAGCTTGGCAGTACTCTTTCATCCTTCACACTGAGTAGTGTGGTAGTCATCGCATTGAAGACTTCTTCAGGAAGTGGTGCTTATGCTAAGACCTGGGAGATGGAAGGGAGCCAGCTTTGGGGACAGTGTGAGAGGGAAGGAATCCCAGGTGACTAGAAGTAGCTGAGGGAGACTAAGAAGTCCTTGAGGTTCGCAGAGAGAGGCTAGCATGATCCAGGTTTGTATTTTTCTGACTACTGGGTTGGAGGGGCTGAGGATGGAGTGGAGCAGACTCCAGGGTGTGGGTGCAGCTCCTTAGGAAGGAGGTAATCAGGACCTGGGGGCAGAGTAGAGATGGCAAAGTAAACACCTGTGAAATCTCTCAGTGGTGGGAAGAAGGAAGGGAGAAAAATCAAGGGTGTTGCCCTCTGTTGACTTGGGATAGAAAGAAGTTGAGGAGGAGGGTGAGGCAGAGTCACCATCCTGTCTTGTCCCCTTCTGATCACTGTCTCTCCCTTTGGATGGGCACTAGACTGCAAGCTCATACGTGGTAGAGAGGGTGGCTGGTGAGCTGGGGGGATAGTCCCTAGTACCTAGGGCAGGTCTTGGCACATGTTGGCACTAAATATTGAGTGAATTAATGAAATTTAGGTGCTGATTAGAATCGCTGGAGATGTGTGTAGACTACGTCTTTTTCCACCTTAGGAGCTGGGTGATGTCATTTGGGCAAAATGTCACCCACTCAAGTGACTGATACCTGGCACTGTGTTGCCGAGATGACAGAGTAGACCTGGTGGTAGTTTCCCTATCTGGAAAATGGTGATTAACCGAAGACTAGAGCTGGTTTACAAAGCTTGGACAGATGGAAGCTTGTCAGAAATGCAAAATCTTGGGCCTCACCCCTCACCTGTGGCAAGACCCAGGAAACAGCATTAACAACCTCTCCTGGGGGTTTTAGTGTCCATTCACTTTTTTTCCCCCTCCCAGTCCTGAGGCTTTAACCCAGTGACACTCTACCATTGAGCTACATTCCCAGCCCTTTTTATTTTATTTTTAAATTTTGAGACAGAATCATATTAAGTTAGCGAGTCTGACCTTGAGTTTACAATCTTGCTGTTTTAGCCTCTCGAGTCACTGGGGTTACAGGCATGTGCTACTGTGCCCTGCTATCTATTCACTTTTTTTTGTGGGGGGTACCAGTGATTGAACCCAGGGGGCACTTGACCACTGAGTCACATCCCCAGCCCTATTTTGTATTTTATTTAGAGACAGGTTCTCACTGAGTTGCTTAGTTGCCTCGCTCTTACTGAGGCTGGCTTTGACCTCTCCATCTTCCAGCCTCAGCCTCCTGAGCATTTGGGATTACAGGCATGCGCCAACACGCCCAGCCTCTATTCACTTTTTTAAAAAATTGTTTTTTAGTTGTAGATGGATACAATACCTTTATTTATCTTTATGTGGTGCTGAGGATCGAACTCAGTGCCCCACACATGTTAAGCAGGCACTCTACCACTAAGCTACAACCCCAGTCCTCTCTTCACTTTTAAGACCCATGCAATACAGAATGATAGTTTTCTGGATGATAAATGTTTTACAGCTCACTTTCAGGCTGCACTGGCCTTCCCTCCTGCTCACCAGTATAAAATCCACAGTCCGCTGCCCTTTTCAGGCCAGGCCTAACATGAGCTTGGCTTTTTCTTTTGAGGGCCTGGAGCTGGAATTCCTTCCTGAGTGGGAACATGGCATGGAGGTTGGCAAATAGGGTTTCTGAGAACCTACCTCTTGGGTGGATGGTCTGGCCCAAACAAGTTGGGTAATTCTGTGAAGTTCCTGGGATGAAGACTTCTGCTTCCTCCAGAGAAATGTTTTCTAAAATACTTTTTTTAAAAAATATATTTTTAGTTGTAGATGGACACAACACTTTTATTTTTTTTTAATTTATTTTTTATATGGCACTGAGGATTGAACTCAATGCTTCACACGTGCTAGGCAAGCACTCTACCACTGAG